GAGAGAGAGAGAGAGAGAGAGAGAGAGAGAGAGAGAGAGAGAGAGAGAGAGAGAGAGTCTAACTTCTTGGCAAACATTCCACCATTTTTATTGCGGGCGTAGCCGCAACAGGCCCCCTAGTCCACCTTAACCCACCTTAACCCTGGTTGCGATTAAGCATCAACGACTGGCCGACAAACCGATACCCCTCGGAGGTGGTGGGGACCACCAACCACTGCCCTCAAGGTACCTGCGATGAAAATGAAAGCAGACCTGGGAAGTGGTTGGTGGTCCCCACCACCTCAGCGAGTTATCCGTTTGTTAGGCAGTTGCTGATGCTTAATCGCAACCAGGGTTAAGGTGGGCTAAGGTGGATTATCACTTTCACTATCACTGGTTAGGGGAGTCTGCAGACTGTAGAGAGAGTACAGCCTCCTGATGAGTCTGTGAGAGTCCCATTGTCCTGGCTCCATATCCAACATTCTGGGTAGCATCAGTCCGGTTCCTATGGCCCCGACAAGTTAAGGACGAAAATGAAAGCAGACTATTTATTACTCATTCAGAGTAACTTCAGAGTAATTTCAGAGTCGTTCGGGACATTCGTTAAAATTGGAACGAGACAGAGAAGATTAGCAGGGCCCCTGCGCAGAGTTATTTGAGTAATTTCAGACCCAAGGGGATGAAAAGGTCTACAGACTGGCAGCGAAACACCCACAAAACAAAGAAACGTCGATCACAGCCAGAAACTACACTCCACACAGGAGGCTCCTGGCACTAGATGCACAGAAGTAGATTATCACCAGTTTTGTTTTATAATGGTGGTTATTATTATTGTTAGCTTAAGGGCCTCCTTCGACACCACTACAAATGTAAGGACTCTTACAAAATCATCGTTCCACCACACCCTAGTGACGAAAAAAACGAGCTCCAGAATGTTTCCACATTTTCAGCTTTTAGGGCCCGCCCCTAAGAAATGAGGGCTCCCCAGGCCAAACGACGGAAATCTCTAGGGAGCCCCTAGAGGTGCCTTGAAATATGAGGGTGGGACCCTATGGATTCGGACCCTATGGATTGCCCAACAGTCCAAGGTCCTGACACCCGGCCCTCCTCACCTGAGATGTAAGGGTGGGCAAGTGTTGGGTCTTCCTTACGGGCTGTGGAACAGAAAAAAAAAAAAGTTAGGGTAAATTAATCACCCTGCCCCAGTTAGGGCGCCCTTACAATGTACGGATCCGTAAGTGGTGTGGAACGAGGCCCTAAGTGCCATCATCTTACTTCTGATGCCCCAAAAAGTGCTGAAAAAAGTTCCGCAGAAAATTCAGTTCCGGAAACTGACGAACATGATGGTGACATCAGTACCAATTTTCCGAAGGCGCTTTTCCATCCGTGACGGGGCTGATGGCACAGTCCTGTGTAGCAAACCGAACATGTTCAGCGCCCCACCGAGCAGCTGAACATGTTCGGACGCTTGGCCGAGCGGGAACCGAACATGTTCGGCCGAGCGCGGATTAGGGGGCTGCCGAGTGCGTCCTTGTGTGTGTGTGGTGTGTGGAGTGTGTGTGGGGTGTGTGTGGGGTGTGTGTGTGTGCGTGTGTGTGGTGTGTATGTGTGTGTGTATGTCCAGGAGTGATGAGCAATGTCCCCCAGGGCCCCCCAACCAGTGTATATATAAAAATAAAAATGTTCAGGCTTGGTCTATTTTGGGCCACGTTCGGGCTCGGTACCGAGCGTTCGGGTTCGGTCACCGAGCCCGAACGCGATGCTACGCAGGCGCAGTCACTATCACTACACAGTTGGTCAGAACGTCAGGATTTTGACGAAAGACGATAGATGACATCATTACCACTTGCAAATCGGATAAGTGACATCATTACCGATTTCAAATCGTTTTAAGGCGGTTTACAAAGTAGTCTGTCGGCCTCGCCGCACTACTCCCGACTTGGAGAGAAAATTCGGGAGTACTCCCAAACATCCGAAGACGCGAAAATCCATTCGGGAGTGCGCTTCGCCACACTGCACTCCTGACTTGGGGCGCTCTCCGATTTGGAGGCCACGAGGCGCACTTCAGACAGAGAGACTGTCCAGCACTGTCCAGCATGTGGCGACGAAAACTCTGAGGAGAGTGCTTGTCTGCGCACGAGTTCTCCGGCCGAAACACAGGCCTCCGCGAGAGGTCTCCCAAAAATGGCCTTTGACAGTGGGAGGCTCAAGCGATTCCGGGAGTGCTCTCCAGAGCCACATTCTGACAGCTCCCGAATTCAATCTGACAGGTTGAACTCAGGAGCTGGTGTGGCGACGCTGCACTCCCGAAAATGGCCAAGTTGGGAGTAGTGTGGCGAGGCCATGTATCTCTGTTCTTTTGTTTTGTTTTTGTTTTTATAAAAACTGTTTCATCTTTATTACCAAAGGGATCTAGTGCCCGAGTCATAAAAAACCGGGTTAATGAGCCCGCTCTCGGACACCAAGCATAGTCTTACTTCGAACCTCGCAGAGACAGCTGGGTTAACGTGCCCTTCCTCGGACACAAAGCCCCCCCCCGTTCCCTGCACTATACCCAAAAAGAAACACAGCACCAGAACCCCAAAACTCAAAGGAAAGAACTCAAAAGTCAAAACCCCTTGCCTTGCTCGATCAGATCCCTAAACACTTCAGTAAGAAATTCAGTTATCAACTTATCATTTCCCAAATCTACAAAAAACATAAAAACATCGAAAAATTTAGCAGAAAAAAAAGCCGGGCCTGTTACTCTGTCAACAAGTTTAGAGGTCAGTAGTCATCCATGGTTTTCAACATCTCCTTTAATTCTCTTGAATTTCTCCAATAGTTCTCAGATTGATTCTCAGCCGAAGCCGGGCAATGGTCCCGGTATCTCAAATGACTTGTGTAACTCTATATGGGATGCTGGGCCCGGTTCCCAGCACGTGCTGCTCCCCACGAATAGATTGGAGCATTTGTCTCCTCCCCCCCCCCCCCCCCCCCCCCCCCCCCAAAAAAAAAAAAAAAAAAAAAAAAAGATCTGCCCAATGTGTCCTCATTTCCTTTTTTTGGGGGGAAGGAGAAAAATGTCACAACAACACCCAATGTTTCAAGTCATCTATTTATTAAGGGAACCTCCATCAGGCATGGGCTCCTATCCCTGATTCCCTGCCTGATGGGGGGCCGACGCGGATGCTATAAATTTATAAAAAAAGGGGGGGAGGAAGGGGGGGGAAGGGGGAGAAAAAGGAAAACAGAAAAGGACAAAAAAGAAAAGGGAAAGAAGAAAAGAAACACTGAGACAGTAAAAAAAGGGGCAGGTGCGTTAATGTCACAACAGAGTTTCGAATGGGCAAAAAAAACACTCGCATGCAAAACAAACGGCCGCCGAGTTCGAGAAAGCAATGAAAGTCCCCCGGCAATGTCACAACAGAGTTTCGAATGGGCAAAAAAAACACTCTCACGCAAAACAAACGGCCGCCAAGTTCGAGAAAGCAATGAAAGTCCCCCGGCCACGACAGAGGCACAGGTGTCATAACTACAGGGGGCAGCCGTGGTGCCAGACGGGGAGAGGCGAAAAAAAAAAGAAAAAAAAAGGAAAAAGAGCCAGCACATCTGTTTCGACTGAAATTGTCATTTCAAGCTCGTGCCATGCCATTTAGCGTAAAAGTTCTGTTTTTTGCCTTTGCGAAGTCATAACCTGTCGTGTCTGTACTTGTTTCCAAAAAAAAACAGACATGCAACTTCTTTGGAAAAACAGCTGGGATCACAGAACCTTCCTGTGTGCCAGTCTACTTATAGCTCTGTTCCTTGACTTCTGTCATTGTCTGTTTTTCTTTTCTTTTCTTATACCTGTCATTGTCTGTGTTTATTCCTCCTCTACCCTCTGTCAGGAAGAAAGAGTGATGTGTGTGGTCTATTGTTTTTTTTGCTTCCCGCGTCTACTTTCAACGATTTCCAAGCAGCAGCTCATTAAAATTAAAAGTTAAAACAGAAAAAAAAACTTTTTTTTTTTTTTTTTTTTTTGTTGCTGGTGTCAGGGAGTTAGGAATGGGCAGAAAAAAACAGGTGACAGCAACTTCGGGCGGACAGTAGTTTGAAACTGCAAAAATAGCACACAATAGCGGTAACTTTTTGTTTTGCCGTTTTTGAATGAACTCGTTCACTCCGTGGACCACGGCCCGGCGGGCCTGCCCCTGCAGTTATGACATACACACTCATTACGAAGTGACGCGCGGCTTTTTTGGCTTTTTCGAACTCGGCGAATGCGAGACCCGCCGGGACTAGTCTTTTGTGCCCGTTCATGAACTCATTTTCCTTCGCTCGCCCGGCAGTCGGCTCGAGAAAAAGAAGAAGAGAATCATTAAGAAAACAACAACAAAAAATCATCGTTGTTGTGCCAAAGACAGACGGACATGCCGAGTTGTTGTGTAGCACTAACAAGACGGGGGTAGAACCAGCCCGTCGATGACGCAGAGTTCGTTCCTGGCCGCAGCAAGAATGACAATGTACTTGGCGTTCTGCTGCAGAACAGTGTCGATTTCCGTTGGTGTGAATCTCAGAGACTCTAACTCCGACGATGAGCGAGAGAATGCAGTTTGGCCAAAAAGTTCGACAGCCAATTGATGAACGACGGATTCCGTCAGCCTCTGCTCCTCTTTCAGTGCAGGACAGACGTCCTCTGAGATCCGTCTGAGCTGTCCCACGGAAATCCGACCATCGTGCTGCTCGCCGCCTCGACCACCAGTGGCACACTCTTCTTCAAGGGCTTTCATCATGGCTTTCATCATCTCGTTTCGCAATCCGTTGCCCCTTTGAGAGATATAGCACAAGCCCGCTAGATAGTCACGAAAATCGATCTTCCCTTGTGCAACCTCCTCCAATCCCCGTTCTCCTTCTTCCTCCTCCTCCTCCTCCTCCTCCTCCTCCTCATCCACCTCTGTTTGCTCCTGCCACTTGTGTTGTTGCTGATCAGTTGCATTTAGCTCGCGCTGGGCGCCGGATATTCGACCAAGAAAGAACATGAAAACTCGACGCATTATCTGGCAATCTTGCACCATCCAGCCGCGCAGTAACCCTCGATAAGACAGCTTCCCGTCACCTGTCGGCTTAATGTCTACCATAGCTACAAAACTACGGAGATGCTCTAAGGCTGTACCCACTCCAATTCCGAAAGCTCGTTCCATCTTCCCGAACTCCACCATCGCCATGCGCTTAGGGTACCCCAGGCCCGCTGCGGCATGCGCGAGCTGCACGTCCTCGAAGGTGTAGTCGGTGCATGGAACTCCCAAGGCATCGGCCATCAACCTGCGCACCCGCTGGGCAAAGGCCGAAGGGTCCTGCTTGTCGGTGGCAGAGGGGAAGACTGCAGGCAAGAAGGTGATCTCCACAGAATTCCACAGCTGGGCCATCAATCTGAGCATCACCGCGAGGATGCCAGGGCCATCGATCACCCACGTGGGATTGACACCGCCACGTGTAGCATACCGAATGGTTATGGGCTGAACAGGAACTGCAGGTGTGAATGCACCAACCTTGAATGCTAGTAGAGCTGTGCCATTGCCAGTTGTGCCCTCTGGATACAACAGCAGCCTGGGCCAATCCTCAGCTTCGGTGTCCGACACGCCATCTGTGATTTTGGCCAGGCGATCTATGGCTATAGCGGCAAGCTTCTTCGACGAGGGTGACGACCTGTCCACCGGTACAATCATCAATGACCGCAGACAACGACCAACGACCGCCATCGCCATGTTCTCCCTTGCACTCACCATGATTGGATTGAGAAGATAGAATGTGAAAAGGGGATCCAGGAACGACACGTGGTTGGACACCAGGATGGGCGCGACGCAGCGCTTCGCCACCTGCCCACGAACCTCCAGGCGGTGGAATCCAAGGGAGAGAAAGAGGAGCAGGCGCACACACACCCTCACAGGCAGAATCAGCAGTTTTCCGAGACAAGATGGGGGGTGCTGATTGTGCACCCACTCTCTGCGCTTGACAACCCTCCAACTGGGCGAAGACGACTTCATCGAAGACGGCTCCGATGACGGCGAACTGGCAGCAGATGCGGACTGATCAGCCTGCATACCGTTCGCCGCCCCAGGTAGAGCCACCTCCTCTCCCCGTCCCAGTCTGTGACAACAACAATGATCATTGAAAGGTTCCGACTCCGGACAGCAGCTAGTATGTGACGTGCTGTTCGGTTGCCCAGTGCCGGCTGCCATGTGGGGTTGACCTCCTATCATCGCCGCTGTCGTTGTAGCCGCGGTGGCGTTCAAGTCTGCGGCAGATGCCTCCTCGCCATTAATCGGCTCATCCAGATCAACGGTCACCAGTCCCATGTGCCCCAGCCTGGAACCCAGCTGCACCGGGAGAAATAAGATATAGCCGACGACAAAGGTAACGAAGAAGAGTGAAACTCTCACACAGACCAGAGGCATGAGGAATGCTGTCCTTGCAACGTCCCACGCACCATACCGCACAGGATTGCTAAATGGGACAATATCCGGCAGAGGCCCCAGCAGAACGCGCGCCACGCCAGACCCCATCTGCCCATGACGACGGCGGCGACGAGACGGTGGTGATCGCCGAAGCCCAAGCCGCCCACATTCGGCCACCCTTGAGCTGTTCATGTTCATAGCGAGTATTCTAGTAGTATATGCTCTGACTGAATGCGCCAGTAGTACGATATAGAATCACAAACCGTGGCTCACCAACAACCGAACCACTAGACAAGCCAAAGATAGAGCGCGCTAAATATATGATTCCGCTAATCCCGAACAGATCGATGAAAGAATGAAGGCAAGAATAGAATGCACTGGTTGTCGACTCGCTGCACCTGCCAATGAGTGACAGAGCTAATCAATCAGTGATCAACTATTACTGGCAGTTGCTGCCACGTTACGCTAGACAATTGCAATGAATGAAAGAATCAATGAATGAATGAATGAACCACATGGGGTTGACAGGGAGCACCACTTTTCAGCCCATAGGTTAAAGCATTCATGATAGCTCCCGACACACAAGGAGTGGCAACACAGCACAAAACAGCTGTATACAGCTGTAAGACAGAAGAGTCAAATTCATTGAAAACGATCGCCCGTAGCTCAGAAGTCAGGAGAGCACGCAACAATCGCACGCAATGCATAGGTTAAAACTTAAACCCCCAAACACTGAAAAGGGCGTTCAGGTCTCGACAAGTGGTTAACAGGGACCCTCACTTTACAGCCCAGAGGTTACCCGCCCCCCAAAAGAAACACAAAAAAGGGCATTTGGCAGATATCTTTTTCAGTGTCCCCCCCCCTCTCCCCTTTTCTCCCCTGTCTTGTTCTTGGTCAAGGTTTGTCTGTGCGTAGTACAACTGGCTGGTACTTGGCACTTCATACTTGGTACTCAGTACCTAATACCTAGTCCCTAGAAATTGTACAAGTAGCTGGTACTTGGCACTGAGTCCCATTCCAGGTCCCAATCCCAAGTCCCAGGTTCCAGCCACTTGTGGAATACTCACGAAGACTCTATAGAGTCAAGAAGAGTAGTTTTCGTTTGTACCATCATTGCAGAGGCCTAGGCAGGCTAAGTTTAAGTACATTCTCAGTGTATATTTCCATGTTCTGGCTGAAGATTCATTCCGATTTTGCTCATCATACACACACACACACAGATCGACATTGCCATGCTTCACGAAATGAGCAAAATGGGATTGAATCTTCCCCTAGAACATGGAAGTATCCACTGCCACAGTGCCACTACATGAAAATATAAACTGCCAAAGACTGAAAATGCGGCACTGTGGCAGTGTATATTTCCATGTTCTAGCAACAGGTCATTCCCATTGTGCTCATCCTATGGATGGAACTCTCTCTCTCTCTCTCTCTCTCTCTCTCTCTCTCTCTCTCTCTCACACACACACACACACACACACACACACACACACACACACACACACACACACACACACACACACACACACACACGCACACTACCTAGTACCTAGTGCTTGGTACATAATCATTGGTACTCTGTAACTAGTAACTACTAACTACTAAATAGTCAGGAAAAATAAAAAATAAAAAAATTTCAAATTTGTGATATTTACATACTAGGTCGTAGTACTATGTGCAAATAGGTCGTGCTTAGTACTTCGAACGTAGTACATAGTCATTGGTAGTACATAGGTATTGGGCAGCACTTAGTCCTTGGTACTTGTCACTTGATACTTGACACTTGGTAATCAGTACATTGTACCTCGTACATAGTCATTGGTATTAAGATACTATTAATATACCCGAGACATTGGGCAATAGGCAGTGCTTAGTACATAGTGCATAGTCATTGGTGTTAGTACAATTGAGACATTGGGCAGGACTTCGTACTTAGTAGTAGTTGGTACTTAGCACTTTGTACATACTACGAAGTCATTGGTGGGCAGTACTTGGTACTTGGTACTTGGCACTTGGCACTTGGCACTTAGTACATATACCTAGTACATAGGACACGCTACATAGCCATTACCATACTTTGTCCTTTGTACATAGCACATAGGCAATCGCATTAGTATGCTTGTGGAGTTATTAACATACTTTGTCCTTTGTACATAGCACATAGTCAATGGCATTAGTATGCTTGTGGAGTTAGGTAGTACTTTGTACGTCTTACTTTGTGCATAATCATTGGTACTAGTTGAGCATGAACCTGGCCATCATACTGATAAAGTACAATGCACTTGAAGCCATTTCATCTTGGCGATGGTGGCATGTACTGCACGCTCACGTTTAGTACTTGTGCCTGAATGGTCTGCATCATTTCTTGTCGATACGCTCTTATGGCCAGGATCATCTCCTCTACCTGATACGACACTCAGTAGACTACGCTACGCTTGGTACTACTCGGTAGCAGTAGTTCCCAGGCATTACATACTCCATATACTTTACTCAGTGTAATTTAGGATATGACTGTTTATTGACACTTCATAGACACTTCATAGACACTCCATAGACACTTCATAGAACACTTCATAAAACACTTCATAGAACACTTCATAGACAGAACTTAGTACTAGTACTTGCTACTTAGCAGTCCACAGGCATTACATGCTTCATAGAGTGCCCTTAGTACGTGCTTCATAGGCTTTACTTGATGCATGGTAGATATTCCACACTTCATATACTGTCCTTAGTACCTGTTTTAGGCATTACATACTTCATACAATTCGTTCATAAGTTGTACTTAGTACACGTTAGGCATTACACACACTTCATGTACTGTCCTTAGTACATGACATTAGGCAATAGGCACTATACACGCCGTTGCCCGTCCTTAGTGCTTAAGACACTGCCATGCATTACATACTTCATCGAGTGTCCTTTAATAGTACTTGATAAATACACTGTCATTTCCTTATGCTTAGTACTAAGTCCTTAGTACATGTTAGGCATTACACACTTCCATGGACTGTCGCGAGTACTCGGTACACACTACTACACAGGCATTACATGATAGCATAGCAATAACAGCAAACACTCCTCTAATGCTCTACAATGTTTCCCCGAATAGGACGGCCCCCAGGGTCATTACAGCTGTATTTGGAGGGGGACTTTCAGTCCAGATAGGGCGACAATCACCAAGTGTCGTGTTTGGGGGAAGACCATATTAAAAAAAAGAAAAACCTACATAGGACGGCACTATGTCTGCACTCGTTGTGATGGGAACTAACTGCGTACTATGTCTGCACTACGTGGATACTATGTGTGCCACTACCAGATACTATGGCAGCACAGGACCGAGTGAAGAGCTGGCGATTCACGGCACAAGGTACCTGGACTTCCTGCGGGAGTGCAACATTCCAGACAACAAGTCGGCTCACTGCCGTTGGATTGACTGTGACATGATCTTCGTAGCGTCCATGTTAAACTCGGAGAGGTAGAATCGTCTTTCTTCTTTCTTCTTTCGTCTTTCGTCTTTTTCTTTCTTCTTTTGTATCATAGTTTCCCTCCTCTTCGTTCCACTGGAGAGAGAAAGAGGGGAGATGTTGAGGTCAATTGAAATGTGTGTGTGTGTGTGTGTGTGTGTGTGTGTGTGTGTGTGAGAGAGAGAGAGAGAGAGAGAGAGAGAGAGAGAGAGAGAGAACAGAGTCTGACCGTCCTGACCCGACCAGACCCGACCAGACCCACAGACCGACCCACCAACCAACCAACCGACCGACCGACCGACCGACCGACCGACCAACCAACGAACCGACCAAAAGACAGACAGAGAGAGAACAGTCTCCCTTGTCTGGCACCGGTTGTGGTCACATCGGGTCCAGTTCCAGACCTCTGGTCTGTTCCTGGACCGGAAAGCCCCGGCATCCAGGATTTCCCTGGCCATTTGGGTACACCTGGTTATTCCTTCATTCCAGGATTCTTCGGTTTGCTCCTGGGTCATTTGCTTCTTGTGTGTTTGTCCGTGTCTCTCGGTTGCGGGTGCTGTCGGGCGTCCATACCCTTCAGCCCTGCCCATGCTCTTCTCCCTCGCCTTGTCCCTCGCGGACCACACGTGTGCGCGCGTGCCCTCCTGGTCACGCACGCGTTTCACTAGTATCAGAGCAGATAGATCTCTCAGACTGTGACCTGTCCCTGCCCTCCCATCCCTTGCTTACTGGAGTCGTTTGGCAGCCTACCGAACCGCTCCGACCTGTCTGCTGTCGTGGAAGTCGACGGTAAATGGGGAGGGCGGGGGGGGAGGCCGCGAGGGGGGAGCGGAAGGACGGAGCCAAGCATACCGCGGCGGACAGTTTTCTATACTCGTTTGGCATTATCTGACAGGAGCTCCATTAGAACTCTCTGTGACTGTGCACCGACATTCCTGTGCTGATTTCCTCCAAGTCCTTGAACCGTAGTTGCCTCCTCTCAGCCGCATGCTTGGTAGACTCTCACTGTTCTCACATACTCTCTCAGACTCTCTCTGATACATACATCACGTATGTGCACGACATATCATGATGTCTGTTACTATCTGCATCCTCCTTTGTCTTTCCTCTCCTCGTTCCACCCTTCTCTCAGACTGTGGGTAAATTGCTCCCATGTATGACTGTCCGCAGTGTCCGGTTCCTGTGACTGCAGCAGGACCGACGCTAATGATAGTTGATGACGATGGGGGTGAACATGGGACGACAACCAAGGGGATGACGGCTATGATGATAATGACGATGATGATGATGGGGGAAGAAGGGGGGGGGGGGGGGGGAGAAGGGACGAAGAGGGGGGAGAGATTTAAGAATGGAAGTCAACAAGGAGCTTGCTACTTTGCCCTTTTTCAATCCCCGCATGTGCCTTGTCTTTTCTTTTTCTTTTTTTCTTTCCATAATTGCATTGACAATCAGGATGTGGGTTGGCAACCCTGCAGTCTTTGGGGGGTATGTGTTGCATACCGTATAGGTGCAGACCAGAACAAGAACCGACCTTTCAATACAAAGTATAAGATAGCACAGCGGAAGACTTAGATACCAGTGATCCGAACAATCAATGTTGTAATGCAGCCCTGAACATACATCATCATCATCGCCTCATACCTGTCTCTTATACACATCTAGATGTGTATAAGAGACAGGAATAGCCCTCCGTTTCAGGTTGGAAAAACTCTGGGTCCCAGAAATAGGCTGAAACGAGGTAGGGCCTGCAGGCCCTCGTTTTTCAGCATCCAGGCTGAAATGAACGGGGCCTGTAAGCCCTAAGTTTTAGGCTTTTAGGCTGAATGTCCGGGACGGGCCCTCTAGACCCTGTCTCTTATACACATCTAGATGTGTATAAGAGACAGCCTATGTACTACGGGTGTGCCTCTTGAGCCTGCCGAAGGAAGGCA